TCAATTAAATTTTAGGGCGTCACAATATAGTCCTCCAACAACCGTTCATTACTAACTATAATCCTTCAACCTATAATCCCTTAGCTTTAATCACTTGATTACTCTAATGCCCACTTGTATCACAAACTATTATAAAAAAAATGCCAACGCACGCTATCACTTAGATGATTGGTGCATGCCATCAAAAACAATGTTGTCTCTCACCTTAAACAATTGGGTTTGTGTTGGATTCCTACCAAAGAGCCCTTTCAACCTACTAATGTATTATTTGGCCTTCCCCCAAGCAAGGAGTAATTATTACGTCCGGACAAAAAAATCGGAAATCCGGACATATACCGAGCAATACCAAGTTTTAGGTGACGTGGCGTGTGATTATTAGTCTCTGGATGCGTCAGGTGACCTGACGTAATAATTGCTCCCAAGGAAGGGCCTTGTAATCAAATAAAATATTAGTGAAATCATTTTAACTTAATCATGTCTCGCATTTTTACCCTTTCTAGGATTTTATGCGTAAAAAACCTAGTATGTCTTATTATTTTGCTCTCATTTTTTTTATTTGTGTGTGTTTTGAACCTTCGTACAAAACTAAAATGTTAAACTTTTTATATATTTCTACAACTGCACTGTAGTCATTAAAAAGAACTCAAAGCATTTTAATAGAAGCAAATTAGGATAATATCAAATTATCAATCATCTTAAAATATTGATTATTGTATATTTAAATTAATCTATTTTAAATATATTATATTAAAAAATAGATAATACATGATTGTAATTTATTTTAAATTGATCATTTTGATTTTTAACTCAATGCTAGCAATCAATTAGTCAATATATGAGACTATTTTAATCATTCTCTAAGGAGTTGTGGGATAAAAAATGTAAGTATTTAATATAGTTGGAGATTGTTTTGATACTATATAAAAAGAGTTAGTGGATCTTCTATGATCCTTTTCTCTTAAAAAATATATTAAAAAAGTACTAACAATTTTTTGCAAAAAATATTTCACTGAATTATTTTTTTCCTTAACATAATCAGCATAATTTTGATCCAAAAGACTATTTTGGATCATATTTAAGGAACATGGGGATCAAAATCCTTTAATAAGTTGGGAGTATTTTGATTTTTCATAAAAAAGCCAATGATAAAACACCCAAAGCTTTTTGAGTGTCGTCGCCTCCACCCAAAAGGAATAGATACAAAGGTGTCCTGGCAAAGATTCATCTACTCAGAATTTGAGAAAATTATTAGGTCCGGACACCGTACGTAGATATACATCCGGACATTCACTTAAAAATAACACGTGGGCTAAGTTTTGTTGCCCTTTTTGATCACGCTTTGACTGTGTTTTTACTGAGCTTTGACTATGTTTTACCTACGCTTGGTTTAAAGTTCCGCCGACACATTTAATTTATAAAGTAAAACATTAAATTTAATTGAATATCCACGTGTACACTCTACGTGTCAATATTTTATTGGAGACCATACGTACCTCTACGTCTGGTCAGATACGTATGGTCTCCGGACCTAATAATTTTCCTAGAATTTGCTACTAGGTTCGCAATGTTTCAACCAACGATGTCCTAAATTCACCTTTAAATCTCTCGCACATCTTCACCTAAATATTTTCAGAAGTTTTACTTGCTGATGAAAATCTCTATGTATGAGATGGAAGTATAGTAAATTCTGAGTTGCTGGTTCATTTCATTCCATTAGTTTTTACTCTTTTAACATGCTCAGATTGACAGTTCGAATGGGATGGGATGAATTTTCTAATATTTTGAATATTATTACAAGCAGAATAGGAGGATTTAGGCTTCGTTTGGGACGGATTTTTTACTGTTTCTTGAAGCAGCTTTTTAATTAAAAAAATAAAATTTTGTACTAAAAAATTGTTTCAAGCAACGAAAAAGCCATCCCAAACGAAGCCTTAGTATGATGTAAAGATTTTAATGTCTTAAAGGAAAGCAGAAAATTTTCTATATTTGTTAATATTTTTAGGAATTAAAAAAAAAACATATTGTTGCGTCCTGGAGTATTCGCGGCGGTAGAGAAATATATGGTTTAACGTCTTATCATTGTACGAAGATCCAGCACACAAACAGATAAGAGAGGGGGTGAAACATTCATAAGAAACACCAGAGTTTTTACGTGGAAAACCCCTAAAAAGGGGGAAAAACCACGGGGCCTGGCCCTGTTTGAATGAATCCACTAGTGTTCGTAGTCGATTACAAATGAGGCTCTTCCTTGGGAGAAGGCCTTGGATTGATGTAGCAAATGTACATCATAGAGATTGCATTACATAGTAGGAATTACATATACATGTTTGTCTGGTCGGAAGGACCGTAGTCGGCAGGAGACCGGCAGGAGACCAGGGTCAGAAAGACCATTGTCTGTTGATGGAGGTCGGAAGGACCATAGTAGGCGACGAAGTCCTGAAGGACCGTAGTCGGCAGGAGACCGGGGTTAGAAAGACCGTTGTCTATTAATGGAGGTCGGAATGACCATAGTAGGCGACAGAGGTCGGGAAGACCGTAGTCGGCAGGAGACCGGGGTCTGAATGTCGGGCCTTAAGCAGGACGTCGGGTCTTCAGCTGGATGTCGGGTCTGAATGTCGAGCCTTAAGCAGGACGTCGGGTCTTCAGCAGGACGTAGGGACCGAACGTCAGGCCTTAAGCA